AACGGCACAACATGGACTGCCAAGATGTTGTCCCGGTAGTACTGGCCTGTAACACGCCCTGCAACAACATGTAAAGCCGTTCTTCTAGCAACAGTGATGCCTCCCCACACCATAACAGAACCACCCCCAAATCGATCATGTCTGATGACGTTAACGTCTTGGAAGCGCTCGTTTCGACGACGCCACACCCTCCTACGTCTGTCCAAAAAATCAACAGTGAACCTTGACTCATCTGAAAACATCACATTGCTCCAGCGTCGATTATCCCAGTGTTGACGATCCCTACACCAACGACGTCTTGCCTGAATGTGATGATCTCTCAAACAAGGGATCTCGCGAGGACGTCGGGCGCGAAGGTGACCCCTATGCGGTCGATTCCGAATCGTCTGGCCACTTACTCTCACACCAGTGTCTGTTTGAAGACGAGCGCTGATCTGATTTGCTGTGATGACACGATTTCTCAAGGCCAAGGTACGGATAAATCGATCCTGGGCTTGAGTTGTCGCCCTTGGTCGACCTGAGCGTGGTCTGTCCTGTACAGATTGTGTATCACGGTATCTGGACCATAGCCTGCTTATGACAGACTGAGAAACATTCATCGTCCGCGCCACAACCGCCTGTGTTGTGCCGATCTGTAGCATGCCAAGGGCACGTAACCTTTCATTTTGGGTAAGCCGACGCATATCAAAATTTGTTTTCTGGTCACTAAAACAATTAAACTGATGTTTCCACCCTGGAATTCAATGCCACAATGACTGTAACATTCAAAGTCAGAGTCGTGCAAATCTTGGGTTGGACCCCCATGATGATCCCAAGCATCACCTGCATTCCATGCGGTAGCTATTGGTGCGTTTGGGCGTCACATGTAACTGGAAATGTTTCTTCTGTTAGGTTCTATAGTGACTTTTTTCGTAGTCATTTGCATATTTTAGTATTATGCCCCCAAAATCAAATATCCCCTACTTTTTTTGAATACTATAGTATACCAATTAAAGGTAGTATATAAATATAGGTATATTTGATAAGATAACCAACAGTTTTCTACAACACATCTTCGTGTAAATATCTACAGGTAAGTCCGATGTCCGGAAAAAATTCCCCTCACAACAGAGTCTACATGGTATCTCCTGTAGTATCGTTCCGTTTTACTCCACTATCCCCTGGATCCATTCACGGGGGAGACACACAGTCAAATTATCCGCCCTTGATAATTGTGCTATCAACCAATCAAAAACATTTATAAATAGGAAGCGAGTGGACGAACTGGTTTCTTTAGATTACGTTGAAGATCACGTGACGGGGCCAGAAAATGAAACTAGCTTGATTCAATTTTCTCTCACCCTCTTATATACCATTTTGTCTCCTCGGATTTGGGTCATTATAATTTTCAGTGGATGCCAAGATAGATTTTATTGATTTTGAAAAGGATATATGTCAATTTTTTTCCAATCGGGGCCTATGAACGCCTAACCCCTCTGGGCCCTCGGATCACGTCCGGCGGTTGAGGTCCAGTCCGCCCCTGTGTATGTGAATGTGGGTGTGTGTACAGCTTTATTTAAGTTTACGATTTTGTTTTAATTACATTTCAGCATCAACTCAAAACAAGAAAATGAACACCATCCTATCCCTCGCTCTCTGTCTGGCTCTAGCCACTGTTGCTCTAGGAGTAAACCCAATGATGGGTGGTGGATTAGGTATGATGGGAGGATACAGTCCATACATGATGGGAGGTATGGGTATGATGGGTGGACTTGGGATGATGGGAGATATGGGTATGGGAGGTTTGGGTATGATGGGAGGATACAGTCCATACATGATGGGTGGTATGGGTATGTATGGAGGTGGACTTGGTATGATGGGTGGAATGTACAGTCCTATGATGATGGGAGGTCTTGGCATGGGAGGCCTTGGCATGGGAGGTCTTGGTATGACCGGATACAAAAAGTAAAGTAAGTTCGAAATCTAAATTAATAATTTATTAATGTTTGTAAATAATCGAATGATCGCGATGGAAGTAACACGCAGTAGGCTGCTTAAAGTCTTGTAATTTGGGGTGGGAGTGTAGGAATGACCGTTTTTCATAAAAATAACGTATGCCATTCTGGGCATAAAGATCTGTTAAATAAACAAGTCAAGTAGACTTGGTGTCATTTGTTTTGTTTATCAGTTGGAATAAATTAACAGAACGGGTGTGTTGTATTTCTGCCCAACTATCTCCTTATGACGGTTATCATGCACGAAGTAGTAAATGTTTATTCTTTCTAGATAAAACAATTACCCCTTTTTGAACTCCATACGTCTAACCATTCATGATACACTACTGTAATATATACATCTACTACCATGTATATTAATAGGGACGAGCTGGACCTCGGATCGTCGGGCGTGGTGAAGGGCAAATCGGCCATGATTGGCAAATAAAATTAACGTATATTTTTTTTTCAAAATATATAAAATTGATCTTGCATCAACTGATAAATATAATGACCTAACTCCGAGATAAAAAATGATATGTGAGTGGGATGCAGAAATTGTGAATCAAGCTAGTTTAGTTTTCTCGTCATGGTAAACAGTTGGTCCGGTTGCTCAGAGCTACCCTGTCACGTGTTCTTAACCATGGAAACCAGTTGGTCTGGTTGATCAGAGCTACTCAGTTCACACCCTGTCACGTGTTCTTAACCATGGTAAACAGTTGGTCTGGTTGATCAGAGCTAACCAGTCTACACCTGTATATTAATGTAATCACTATAATAATGTCTATAAATATATTTTATTTAAATCTGTAATATATTTATATAAACGTTTGTTTATTTACAGGAACATCTGTGATATAGAAGATATAATGTTAAAACTAGCCATTGGTCATCTATTTATTACCATTTTGTTAGAATAAAATCTTTAAAATCAAAACGGTATCTTCAGGGTTTTTTTAATATGGTAGTGTAAGATTATAGAAAGCAGTTTTATAATAAACATTCAATTCTGTTATAATTCTGTTTGAAATCGAACGTTTATTAAAAACTGGTTGCACATACAAAAACACATTTTTGTAATTTAACCCATTTTTAAATAATTGCAGTAGATTATTACACCTATAGAATATTTACTACACAATATTCACCATGCTTTCTCTATTCTGTAACAAGGTTAAAGTGAAAGGGTGCAATGAAATGAAATAAAATGGGGTTTAACGTCCTACAGTTCTGCTCCGAACCGGGCTAATGAAGACGGGCATACGCCATACAGTGCTATTAAGGAAATTTTGCCCGGATAGCGGCATTACGGCCTACTCTTATATCGAATTCCAACTGTCAAGGGATCTTTTACGTGCACGCCAATGTGTACACGGGACCTCAGTTTTTCGTCCCATCCGAACGACTAGCAGCTGTCCCTGTCAGGGCCTCCTTCCTGCATCCCTGACAAGGGGGAAACCACGCCGTAAAACCTGGATGAACATTCTCGGCCAATGCAGGGATCGAACACCCCACCTCCAGGCTAGCGAGCCAGCATCTTACCCACGTAGCCACCGTGATCCCCGTGAAAGAGTGCAGTGGCGCCTTTTGCGTCATGGGTTTAGAAATTGTGCGCCCCCTCTCTGAAACGGTTGCAATAATTATGCTCAACATACATCAAAGAAAAGAAACGCAACAAATCAATTCTAGTATGTTTCATGTTCCACACATCTCAAAATACCCCCCCCCCTCCTCCAAATAAATATTGTGTTTATGTGCCCAGTTTAAAGTTATATTTTATACACTAGCCTTTGTGTTTATAATTCTTTACAGGACATTTTTATTCGTGTAGGAATGGAGAGGGGGGGGGGGTAGTTCTATCCGAGCTCTCTTTATATCTTGCAAATGGTCCTCTATTTTTGTATCAGAAATCGATTCAACTTCGTTGAGTTGTTTAGACAGTGGTATCACGTTATACTGTATCAGAATATTAGATGTATACTCTTAATAAAAAGAGTATACTTTATCAAAAGTTATAGACCCCTAAGCCTTTTTATATTTTTTTATATTTTTGGGTTTTTTTTCTTCCTATTGTACCAGATTATTACATCAGTCAATAGACGTGATTACATCAGCCAATAGACGTGATTACATCAGCCAATAGACGTAATTGCTGCAGATTATGCAATCTGGTTAAAACACAGATCCTATTTCGTTTCGTTTTTCATAGTTCAAAATTTCGTTTTACTTGTCTTTACTACACTAGGTTCTGGAAGTTTTGTTATAAAATCTGCGTTCTGGGGCTGGCATGAGGGATTAGCCAATGAACACCTTTTGCAAGAAATATATGCGCCTGGTTTGATCTGTGCTCTCCTTCCTTCACCACTTGCATCGCACTGGAAGCTTTCTCGGCCAACACCAGGATCGGACACGGGACCATGACCTAGTGAGCCAGCCAACTTCTTATTCACCGCGTGCGATTTAAATCGTCTTTTACAGAAGCATTTTTGGTAAATTTGCTGAACTATTCTTTTTCTGATGAGCTTCATGATCGTGACAAACAGAGCACAGGTATTGCTACATTGATCGATCAAAAGGATACTTTCCTTAAACGGACAACTTCAACAGACCCTTTCATTGAAACGCGGTGTATAATTGAGCAACTAATACTGCGATTGTGACAAGACACCCTACTTGGATACAACTGTGAATAGTCTAATGATCATTGACCATATATGTGCTATCTATTGGGATAGAGCGAAGATATAAGATTATGGACAAGTTTTAATATAAACTGAATGTCAGGAGACAACCCAATTTAAATGAGATTTTTAATTTTAGTGTGAAATGTTCTTCACCGACCCATCATATAAGGAGATGACATAGGTTTGATCTCGTCTAGGGGAAAATAGTCCGATTCAAGTAAGATAGACATGTTCATTGATCTATAATACATGTATTAATATAGGGGGCAATCTCTGTGTAATAATCAGTCTCTAGATTGTATACGGGGCTGGAAATAAAAATAAGAACAACTGATAAGGCTTTAATACGTTTATAGTTAGTAAACGTAACTGAAAATATGAATGACACTTAAACAGTTCTAATCACTATATATTGTTAAGTTGATTATCAAGAGAACAGTAGTTATAATATAAGTATATGCAAATTTCAATAAAGCCTTTTCGGGTGAAAATGTACAATATCATAATATAAGGATATGGTAGGAAATAATAAAGCAATTTGCAGATCCATAAGTACAGCCATGCGAAGTCGAAGAGGGTTTTCTACAAGCGATTTATTGAAATAAAATTGAACCATGTGTTAGTCCCGAAATGACCTAGTTGTTTTATGAGATAATCATTCAGTTTAAATATTATAATGAGTTTGTCATACAACTAGAAAGGTATGTATTTAGAACTCATCTATAATAATCTTGATTATTTTGACTGTTGTCTGTATAGTAAAGTTGTTGTCGTCATCAAGAAATCCATTTTCTTTATCAGAAAGTCTATTCCAGTCTATGAATCCAGACCAACCCCAACCGCCTACGCCAGGTTTATATGTATTATATTTATTATTTTCTCTATTCTTAGATTGTTGTTTATCTTTTATATTAATCAGTGTGAACCTGTAGTTAGCCTCACATGATTTAATATCGGCTGTGTCTTCTGTGTCATTTAGTCGTAGGTAAATACCTAGAGTTGGTACAGTGTTTGTCTTCTCTTTCTTTACAGCTCTAATATACCATGGTAGACCTTTAATATAATAATCATCACCATCTACTCCATCATCTCCTTGTGATTCTGACTCAACTTCATCCAAGTTGAAACTAGTTGTAAAAATGGATCCTTCTTGATACAGTAAACATCCTAGTTGTTTTACTAACAATGTTTTATCAATCACAGATTGTTCAAAAAACGTGTATTTTACATCAGGTATATCCAACTTTCTTAAACCGCTCTCCTCCTTTTCCTGTTTAACTTGTGGTATTCTGTTAAAAACCTGGACAATAGATGTATCTTCTATAACATCTCCGGTACATTTAACACTGGCTTTTAAATCTTCTATTAATATTTTCATCTCTCCCAGAGGTTTGATCATTTTATCTATTTCCTCATCACGTGACTTTTGAATTTCGGCTTTTATTTCCTCTCCAGCTTGTTTGGCTTCAGAACAGATCTGTTCAATTTGTTGGTCAACGGCATCACATGACGTTTTTGCAGAGTATTCAATATCTGTTTTAATTTTGGTCAACGATTTGTAGAACTTTTCAAATTGACTAATTTGAGTTTCTATATCGTCTTGCAAAACTTTTAGCTCATCTCTGGTTTCAACGTCGATGTTTTCACCATAAAGATCAACAAATTTGTGCGAAATGTGGTTTGTCACAAAACAATCGGAACAAACAGCTGTTGAACAATCTTTACAATAACATCGCACTTCTTTATCATGGTGGTTTGGGCAGATATCTTTAGATTTAGACTCGGCGGTACCCCTACCTGGTGTCTGTAATGCGACCCTAACATCCAAAATCACGTGTCCACGACAAGACTTAAGTCCATCATGTGTGGTTCTACAAGACTTACACAGATATTGTTCACAATCCTCACACCTGAACTCAGAATCAACACCAGTTTTACAAACATCGCATGGTGGAACTTCTGTTTTACAAATATCACTAGCCAACTCCTGTTGAACATCTACATTAGAGGCAAAACCCATAACGCCATCAGTAGGGATACTAACAGTATTACGACATAATGGACATGGAAACTGATTGTTAGTAGATACTTTGTTGATATAATCTTCTAAACAGTTCAGACAGAAAGAATGTTGACAGTCGATAATCTTGGGTTGTTGAAATTCGTTTAAACAAATACTGCATACTGGTTTTTCTTGGTCGAAAGTAGCCATGTTGATTGTAAAGTCACCTATCACACGAATAATGTTTCTTGAAACTCGCTAAGTTAAAGTCGCCTTCTCACATGAATAGTACATCTGCAAACTTAAAGGGTTACGGTCGTCAATCACATGAATATTATCCTGTCTTGTCTGTCTCGGTATATTTACATCCAGCGCTTACAAATATATTAATTCACCTCCAAATGTGAGTTATCATGTATAATAAATAGGTCGCTGTTATTACAGTAATAGTGTCCCTGTTTTAATACATATACCACTACCAGATATCACAGAAAGCCTATTTATACCGTTTAGCTATTCAAGTTTGTTTTCATGTAATGCACCTCTAAAATGAAACACGGTTTGACTTTACACTGTCCTATTATGATATAGATCCTATAGTAACATAAGCATAACTGAATATTCTTGATTATAAGGTAGGTCATAGTGTACTTACACGTAACATATCACAATGATATATACATGTGTATACAACAGTATATGTCTACATACAAACACTTACTGACGCGTGACACATGATAACCACCACTGTTCAACTTTCAGTTTTAATTCTTGGAAGTAATAATAGGTATTCACAATATCTGATTTAACATTAGTGTATATATTCCTAGAAACGTCTATTTTCAATTTCCATTTAATAGTCTCGCATACCCAGCCAGTCCACATTTAAACAACATATAATATTGAATGAAATGATTGTGTCTCTAATAATTTGGGTCACCATTATGACTTTCTTAAGATATCACAAATAATTTCGTTCTTGGTCTGCGCGCTACATAACACGCACGGCGCGTTGTTTTTGTTTTTATTGGATTATTAAAAGTTGAACAGTATTACAAACATGTGTCAGCTCAAATGTTTAGATACATCTGAAATGTGCCTACATATCAATACGTATATTTTGTAGTAAATATATTTTGTATATGTCAGTATGCTAGTCTTTTAGTGGTTGGAAACGTGCTGTCGTTGCTTTGAAACATCCATTTCGAACCCACATTCTAATGAACAAGAGGGGTGGCGCGAAAGGTTAGCTCGTGTGTCTTGTATCATAAGGTCTGTCAATAAGTCAACTGGCGTTTTTCGATACCCCAGTTGTACGTGACAAGGAGTAGGGTCACCTGTCCAACCTCGTGGGTTTTCTCCGAGTCCCCCGGTTTCTTCCCACTACTAAAGACTCCTATGCACAAGCGAATTAGTGAAATGAAATTAAACCATATATGTTATTCTCGAAATGATTTAGTCAGTGTCGAGTGGACGTTAAATCCGACCTCTCTCTCTCTCTCTCCCCTCTCTCTCTCCCTCTCTCTATTACATGCATACCAATGTGTACACGGGACCACGGTTTTTCGTACCACCCGAACGACTGCCCTTGCCAGGCTCCTCGTCCTGCACCACCGAACCCGCGCCCGAACATCACGAGGAACTTTTTAAACTACCACCGGGAGTATACTCGAGACCGTACAACGTACAACCGGGGAATCGAAACAACGCCAGTTGACGCAATGACAGACCTTATGATACAACGCACGCGTGCTTACTATTCGACCATCCAACCCCCTGCATGTAAAAGGACCCTTGACAATTGACATTCAAAATAAGAGTAGTTCGTAGAGCCCCTGTCCGGGGCACAATTTCCCCCCATAGCCCATTATTGCGTATGCCAAGAAAAGTGGGCCGTTAAACTCTATTTCATTTCTAAGTTAGGAACTAAATGAATAAAATTCTTATAGCTAGAACTGCCATCTTTGTATTTAATCTTACCAACTCTTACATAATGGATCTTAATTTCTTAATATCGTGCACCATTATATTACTGCACGATTGAATATTGCAAGATAGCTTGATAACAAAAAGTTTATTATCACCCAATAAAACATTCTACAGTAGATATCGCTTGTGTGATAAATTTCATAATCTACTGCAATATGCATTTTTATTAAAATTTTGAATAGCCATTGTAATGTTTGTTTTCTTACTGAAAAGATAATTATTTACAGCTATTTTATGACAATATACACATTACATTGTAATTCGTTTGGGCATATTATTTGCAAATAGTTGTCCAATATCGTGGTTGCCGCTAAAGTTATTCTCGAAAACATTGGTTTTCATTATTTCCAATGACACTCGATCATTAGACAAAATGAAACATATAATAATACAAGTGCCTAAGGTCGCTTGGCTCAAAAACAATTTAGGTTTTTTTTTAAAAACCAACATGGGTTATTTCATTCCATAGCCTGGGGAGGACAAACATAATTTCCCTGGTGACGGGAGTGGGGGCGCCATCAAAAAATCGTCCCACTCAACATTAGAAAATCAAATCGGCCCACCATTACCTTATTTTTGCACCCAATAAAAATAGCATCGCCCGTCCCGGAGACGGAAAACATTTTAAAAAATTATCAATTATTACCCCCAGTTATAGGTCGAAAAGTAGTAAGTATAGCATTATGTAATAATGAAATGACTCCGTTGAATATTGATTTGTAGGCCTCATTTTGGTTTTATTGGATGTTTAAGAGACTCCAACAAAATGGCCCATTTTTCCGAAAAAAAACGGGCAATCGGCAAAAAAAAAATCAGCCCATCCCCAATACCTCCTGCTGTGCAGCCCTGTCCATAGCCCTTGTTGTGTCATATAAACAACCATAAAGTGTAAGCCTATATTATTTATTTCCAAGCATTTCTAGTTGAATTACTGAGCAGCCGAAGGTTCTAGAAAATAATGGTGATTCGTAGCATACTGGTGTAAATACTGAAAATTGAGTGGTGGCATTTTGGAGCAGAAATCCACACTAATCTCGATTTATAGATCCAGGGGCCTGTTTCACGAAATTTTAACTAAGATAAAAATCTAAATTTTAGTAATTTGATTGGATAATATTAGATTGATTTTAGTGTTAGCCAATCAAAATTGAAGTATCTACTAAAATTTGGATTTTATCTTTAGTTAAAATTTCGTGAAACAGGGCCCTGGGTTGTGAGGGGAAAGAGCAAACTGATCACCTGTAAACAGTTCAGAAGCTTAGGGTCGGCGAATTTGGCTTTTAAAAGATAGGGTCGGTAGATACGGTTGCTTGCCTATAAAAAAATGGGCTCGGTCGGAAAACGTCGTAATATTAATCTTTTATAACCTACGTCGATACTTGCAATCTTTAACCCTTGTCAAACACGGTGACATGACGATTTGGACTGTGTTGGAAATTGTAGAAAACCGCCCAAAGACAGATTTATAGGTCCTGGTAAATGAGAACAAAAATGTTTTGTAGAGTCGGCGATTTTGTTTGCAAACAAGCACGCCTTTACAGATTTATAGAATATGGGAAACGAGGAAAAATTATTTAGGGTCGGCGATTATGGCTAACGAAAATAGATTCGGTTGGGGAATCGTAAACACAAACTTTTTATATTATTTTAAATTTTTTGGGTGGTGTTATACGCCTATGAAGCTAATATGAAAACAGATAGTCCAGCCAGATCTCGATCAGCGCATTACCCACTCATGGTCATACACTGGAAATTATAAGTTATTACGATATGATCACTTCTAAAAAATATAAAACTATATTTGTGTACTGTACGGTAACTAAAAAAAATTCTAAAATCCAATCAATCTTTTTATTTACCAATCTGGTTAAAACACAGATCCTATTTCATTTCGTTTTTATAGTTCAAAATTTCGTTTTACTTGTCTTTACTACACTTGGATCTGGAAGAGTTGTTATTTAACTCGTGTTCTGAATGGTGTCAGGGATAAACCAATGAAACGGTCTGTTACGGCGAGCGTTAGGCGTGTTTTTCATGGAACTGTGGGTAATCCACTAGTAACATCAATGCTGATTGGTTAATCAAATGTCTGACGTCAAAAGGGTCGTAAGTCGGTCTTTTGACCCCTGGCGTGACCTATCGCTATATCTTGTCAGATCTTCATGTAGTGTAGTCCATCGAAAGTATAAAGAAACGAAAAGAAATATAGATCTGTATTTTAATCAGATCGAATATTTACAAGCGATATAACGATCAAAATAAGGTGCACAACGTGTATTGTTTACATTAGAAACGTCACGCTTTCGACTGTTCTTGACTGAACCGGAACTCGGCACTGATTTGTCATCGCGTCATTAGTAAACAGATTGGCGTCATCGGTCTAGTTAATATATATATACGTCATTGAGATAAACACTCATTTCAGTTCTATTTGGTTCACTAAGCGACTGGTTAATTGTGTCTGTTTGGAAAGGGAGGTCACTCTGCGATAACTTTAAAGATCGAAATAGAAATCGTAAGTGTATTTTATGTACATTTTAAATGAATTTGAACTCCAGCAGTGGCTAGGTTCGAAATAAATTGCATATCATGTTTGATAAATGTCCATGTATACACTCGTGTGACCGTGTAGCTGTGTAGCGTACGCATGTGGTTGCTATGCTTGTTTACGTTGTCAACTCGACGCTGTGAATGTGATTTTTTTCTTCGCAAAAAACCCTGGCCTGTAGGCCTATATGAGAATTAGTCTCTGTCCTATTCATATCAGTATCAGCCCGACTTGTATATTTTTAAAAATATATTACGGTCCATATGGAGTTCAATAAATTGTAGTATTTTTATTCACTTGTTGAAAATCTTCGATTTTGACTAGTCTGGTTATGATAGAATGACCATAGCAACCATTATTGTCAGACCAGCCTTGAAATTAAATTTACTTATTATCTTTCAAATACACTCACTTAAGGCCCGGTCCTAGTGGCCGATGGACACAACGTATGCAAAAAGGGCACAGCGGACGAACAAACTTTTGTGGGTGGCTCAATCCTTTTTCATCCGCTCCAGAAATGGACAAAATTGACGAAAATTTGCAGAAAACAGAACGGAAAAGAACGAAAATGAAATGAAATGAAATGGGGTTTAACGTCCTACTGTTCTGCTCCTAACCTGGGCTAATGAAGACGGGCATACGCCATACAGTGTGCTATGAGGGAAATTTTGCCCGGACAGCGGCACTACGGCCTACTCTTATATCGAATTCCAACTGCCAAGGGATCTTTTACGTGCACGCCAATGTGTACACGGGACCTCGGTTTTTTCGTCCCATCCGAACGACTAGACAGCTTTCCTTGTCAGCTCCTCCGTCCTGCATCACTGACAAGGGAGAACAACGCCGGAAAATCTGGATGAACTTTCTCGGCCAATGCAGGGATCGAACACCCGACCTCCAGGCTAGCGAGCCAGCGTCTTACCCACTTAGCCACCGTGATCCCCGGAAAAGAACGAACGTGGGAAGTATGTAGCGGGGATGTTAAATGGAAGTTCATCGGAAGCCTAGTGGATGAAAGCGGGTGGAAGTGGATGACAGCTCCGAAGGGGTTAGGCAAATTCCAGACATCCTTCAATATACCAGATACATCCCAGATAAAAACGCTTTGACGCTTTGTCCGTTTTGAAAACTTTATTATACGAGATGCATACGCTTACACCCTTTCTATTTCCGTGCTACTAACGATGTATAGACGTTCCATGTACCTTATCTTTCCTCCCTCTTTCTGTTTTCAGCTGGAGCGGATGTGAGTTGCGAGGATGCCCAGAGGATGCAAAGAGGATACAGTGGACGTTTAACGGATGATAACGGACATGGAACGTTTGGTGCTCGTATATGTTGTGCATTTACATCGTACATGGCAGAAAGTTCGTCCCTTATAAAAGTTTTGTGCAGCTCAAAAGTTTTTGCGCGGATGAAATCAAAGTGAACGGATGCTCGATGGATAGAGCGTATGAAACACCCCGTACCGAAATGAAGTGTACACTTCCTCCGAAGTGTTCATTTCCAACACACTTCTATAGACACTCGATTGAAACAAATAAGTGAATGTACTGAAATATGGCGTCTGTCTAAAAATAGGTCATTAGCGGGGTTCGCTCTTCACGGAGTCCAAGTACTAGATACGCAGCTTATTATTGCGATATCCCCCCTTTCTGTATCGAGGAAATGTAATCCTGTATTCATTATTTACACATAATAATTAATCATATTGGTGGTTATTCGCTGTTTCGCTTCGTCTAAAGTCCAGTGGTACGGAACTCGTATTATTGGACGGGGATATGGCCGGGTATTTAAATTAAAAATATTGGTCTTACAATACAAAATTCCAGATGTCATATTACGTATCACTGAAAAGCACGTTCTTTGCACTTTTCAAATATGTAAATTATTTTTTGGCACATTTATTTTTATTTACTTTGAAAAACAATCAATGTTGGATGGTACTAAAATCTATTACCATGTTTACGCAGAGGTGGTGTGTTGTTGTCCACCAACATGGCGGCGTCCTGTATCTAGGTCATGTATCGGATACCGGTACGCTCTATATATAGGCATAGACTATAATCAAAATGGCCGACGAGAATTGAATGTTTTGATAGTTGAATTTGATTAGGACCTAATGTGGCTTTGAACACACGGCATGCAAGCATGCCTGCCTTATTTGACATTATATTATTTCAAATTATACTGCCACCATGGGCCGTAGGCGTTATATAGCGATTAGCGACGATTCCCGAATGATCGAGATTTACGGTCGGCATTTCTTTTATCAGGCTACCGCTTCAAAATGTACACAAGTGAATGACGAGTCTTATGTAAAGCTAATCTTACAAATAAACTTGCTATTTCTATCAATGTTTCAGGTACCTATTTTAAATAACAGACCATCATGTGTAGGCTACACGGTAAAAGTAAAAGTAAATTTGCTGGAAATTTGGTAATCCTTGTAAGACTTGATGTGTTGTGTAGGCTGCACGGTGCCGGTACATATTTAAAATATTTCATTCAATACCCGGTACGGTATTTTAAAAGACCAAAGCCACCAATAATACTCAATAAGCAATACATGTAGTTTTACATCTGACTGTCATAAAATTTTGTAAATGTATATGATAGCCTAATATTGCTGTGATATTTAAGCAAAACTTTATTAATATAACCAAATAATAAACTGGATCTTAGTAAAGCATCTAAAGAATGGGCTAATGTAAAGCAAATTAAGATTTGGCAAATGAAAATTCCATTTGGCCATAAAATATATAAACAATTTTGCATGTGAAAGTGATAGCTATAAATTGCTATATCCTATGTTTACAATATTATGCTGCTGACATTTTATTGTTGTTGAAATGAGTTAGTGCATATTGCTTTAAGCGCTGGACGCAGTAGCCGAATGATTCTGCCGAATGAATCCGCGCTTAATGATTCGCGAATCAAACATGTTTGATATATTTGCCCGAATTATATTTAATCACCAATCATATCGAGAAGTCACGTGATTGTTTGAAGACATGGTTGCTGCCATGTTTAATCATGCGATGTCAAAGGTGATGCAATCGACTTGTGAATCAGGTGAGAGTATGCCCACTTATTTGGCCGAATGATTCAGCTAGTGTATCCACGACAGACCTTGTGATTTCATGTGCACACATTAAGCACAAAACCATTCAACCCCCACATTGAAAAAATGAAATGAAATGGGGTTTAACATCCTACTATTCTGCTCCTATGCTGGGCTAATGAAGACGGCATACGCCATACAGTGTGCTATGAGGGAAATTTTGCCCGGGCAGCGGGACTATCGCCTACTCTTATATCGAATTCCAACTGCCAAGGGATCTTTTACGTGCATTCTAATGTATACACGGGACCTCAGTTTTTCGTCTTATCCGAAAGACTAGACAGCTGTCCTTGTCAGTCCCTCCGTGCTGCATCACTGGCAAGGGGGAGCCACGCCGGAAAATCTCAATGAACTTTCTCGGCCAATGCAGGGATCGAACCCCCGACCTCCAGGCTAGCGAGCCAGCGTCTTACTCACTTAGCCACGTGACCCCCTCCCACATTGAAAAGAAAAGACACAAGCAAAGAACTAAATGTTAGCCCAGAAGTTACCTGGTTTGTGTTGAGTGGACATTAAACCCCATTTTTCTCACTATCTCATATACAAACACAAAATGTGCTGTGGGAAATTTTACCTTGACAGCTGCCATATGACCTACTCTTATATCAAATTAAAACTGCCATGGATTCTTTTACATGCTGGTTTCGATTCGCTGTATTATAAAGTCTGTCATTGAGTCAACTGGCGTGGTTTCAATTCCCCGGCTGTACAAGACAAGGAGTAGGGTCGCCTGTCCAACCTCGTGGGTTTTCTCCGGGTCCTCCGGTTTCCTCCCACTGCTAAAGACCCCTACACGCAAGCGAATTATTGAAATAAAATTATACCATATGAAAGGCCCCAAATGACCTAGTTTGTATCGACTGGACATTAAACCCCATTTCTCTCTCTCTCGGTCAGACAATTTGGGAGAATGCACAGACAGCGGTGCTATATGAACAGTATGAACAACTAGATGCTGTTTCTTGCCAGGACCCTTGTCCGACACCACTGTCAATGGTAAATTATTCCGGAAATCCTGAGTAATTTTGTTGACATGCCGGGATCCAACCTGGGATAATTGAAGCATTTATTCTTAACACAAAAGAATTACTCATGCTCTTATTATCAAAAAACGTTCAAAAAAGACACCCATTACATATGCCATACAGTGTGCAATGAGGCACTAAGGCCTTACATGTATCTTATTTCAAAATCCAACTGTCCAACTTTTACATACACGCCAATGTGCATGTGTGATGTCTGTTTTTTTTTGTTGTGCCATCCGCACGACTATACAACTGTTTCCTCCTGGTCCCCATGGTTTTCTCCCACTACAAAAGACCCCTACAGCCAAATAATTGAAAAAAAATTGATCCATGTGTTAGTCCTGCTATGGCGTAGTTTGTGTAGAGTGGACATTAAACTTCATTTCTCTCCCTTCTTGCCAGGCCCTATGTCCTGCACCACTGGAAAGGGGGAACCAAGGCGTAAAATCTAGAAGAGCTTTCCTGGGCAATGACAGGATCGAACACGGGACGACTCGGATAGTGTGCCAACGTCTCACTCACTGAGGGGGGGTGGATGACCGTATGGGTAGCACGTGTGCGCTGTATTATAAAGTCTGTCATTGAGTCAACTGGCGTGGTTTCGATTCCCCAGCTGTACAAGACAAGGAGTAGGGTCGCCTGTCCAACCTTGTGGGTTTTCTCTGGGTCCTCCGGTTTCCTCCAACTGCTAAAGACCCCTACGTGCATGCGCAAATTATTTAAATAAAATTGAACCATATGTTAGTCTCAAAAAGACATTAATTAGGTCTGTAGTCTATATTGAAATTGCGAGAATCTGTTATTAAAATAAAAAACAGTCCTAGGCCTGCGTAGGCCCAGAAATGAAATGAAATGGGGTTTCACATCCTACTGTTCTGCTCCTGGTTTTGATTCCCCAGTTACGTGACTAGGAGTAGTCGCCTGTCCAACTTTGTGGGTTTTCTCGGGGTCCTCCCACTGCCAAAGACCCCTACGTGCATGCACAAATTATTGAAATAAAATTGAACCATATGTTAGTCTCAAAAAGACATTAAGTAGGTCTGTAGTCTATGTTAAAATTGCGAGAATCTGTCATTTAAAAAAAAAAACAGTCCTAGGCCTACGTATGCCCTGAAATGAAATGAAATGAAATGGGGTTTAACGTCCTACTGTTCTGCTCCTGGTTTTGATTCCCCAGTTACGTGACTAGGAGTAGTCGCCTGTCCAACCTTGACGGTTTTCTCCGGGTCCTTCGGTTTCCTCCCACTGCTAAAGACCCCTACGTGCATGCGCAAATTATTGAAATAAAATTGAACCATATGTTTGTCTCAAAAAGACATTAAGTAGGTCTATAATCTATATTAAAATTGCGAGAATCTGTCATTTAAAAAAACAACATTCCTAGGCCTACGTAGGCCCTGAAATGAAATGAAATGGGGTTTAATGTCCTACTGTTCTGCTCCTAACCTGGGCTAATGAAGACGGGCATACGCCATACAGTGTGCTATGAGGGAAATTTTGCCCGGGCAGCGGCGCTACGGCCTACTCTTATATCGAATTCCAACTGCCAAGGGATCTTTTACGTGCACGCCAATGTGTACACGGGACCTCGGTTTTTGTCCCAACCGAACAACTAGACAGCTGTCCTTGTCAGGCCCTCCGTCCTGCATCACTGGCAAGGGGGAACCACGCTGGAAAATCTCAATGAACTTTCTCGGCCAATGCAGGGATCGAACACCCGACCTCCCGACCTCCAGGCTAGCGAGCCAGCATCTTACCCACTTAGCCATGTGATCCCCGCATAGGCCCTACACGGTGTACACCTATCATATTTTCAATGACATCGAAATTTCAGAAACTATAATTCATGAAAAGTTAAAATATTGAACAACAATGTTTTGATACAATAATTAACATTTGCTTTGGAAGAAATGTAAAAAGATTACAAAAAATGTTGACATTGAGACATTGCTAAAATTTGCTTATTATTATTATTTCTGTTTATTAATATTATACTATTATTATTATTACAGCATATTTATAGTGCTCAGGGGAACTTACAGAGTGACAATACAAAAAAACAATGTTAACAGTTGTATTATAAGTTCCATGGTATAGAGTACCGGTACTAAAATACAACAGGGTCAGATAGAATCCTGTTTAAATATGTGTTTTTAAATTGTTTTTTTTTAAATAAATATATAAAGATGTAGGCCTACAACATCTTAAACTAAATTTTTAATTGTAGGTCTAGTTGTAATTAAATTAGCCTATTAGTATTATCAAAATGGCGATCAAGTACCGGTATTTAAAAATATTGTTGACCTATTTATTTTTGTGGGTGTGTGGGTGTTACTGTGACCCAGATGTGAGATAATTAATACATCACAAGTCTCAAGCGAAATTTAGGCCTATAGCCCAGTTCATGAAAGTTGTTAAGATATTGGAAAACAATGTTTTGATACACAATTCAACATTTTTTTAGGAAATAGATTTATAACCAAACACAAACAAAAGAATTTCTGTTAATGATACCGGTAGTAAAAAATGATTTTTAACTTTCTATTTTTTTTTTACTCGTATTTTCTAAAGATCGGTAGGATTGGTCAATAATGACGTAAGTGAAATGACGTTATGGCCCATGGGCGCCATCTTTTTCTTTTCGCTAACATGATTGATACTGAAAACAATTTAAGGTAAGTTATTATAATATTTCTCAAAGTTTTAATTGTTGTAAAGACCAGGTTTTTCTTATAGCTAGCCAATTTAATGATTAGTTACGATTTATCACTAACAAAATGTCTAAGTTGCTGAAAATCGCGTAAAAATAAGTTTAGTGTGATTATGACTCGCACACAATTTGGATTTGGTATTATGCATGGCGTCGAAATGCCAATTTCATTGATTGATGAAGTACACCGAATTATTTATAATTTGACGATTTGTCCCAGAAAATTCTTCAGTTTAATTGGAACTAGATCTATGCAGAGAATTGATTTATTCATTTCATTTTCATGGCATATCATTGCCATTGTGATTGTCGAATTGAAGCGCCATGGGTGTGTGGACGAGTTGACCTATTCCGTGTCAACGACTAACCAGTGTACATGTATTTTGATATTTGTGGACTACATAACTAGACTTTTTGTGTGGACAAGTTAACTGGCATTCATTTTGAATGATTACAGTTGTTTTCGGTAAATTTAAACTGCGGTACACTGTATTGGTACTTGAAAAAAGGTGAATTTATTTCGTCTTTATTTTTTTTTTCAGAGGTTGTAAATTAATAATCCACCAGTGCGGTATGTGAAAAATGTGTCTAGACAAGATGGTAAATTGAAGTAAACTTATTCTGTCACCCTACATGTCTGTTATCCCATACATGGGCTGATGATCTGAAATCCGTTAGTTCAATGGCTCTTGAGGTTGATACATGGTTGGGCGGCCTGAGAATCTGAAAGTCAGTTATAGAGATTACCCCTCAGTACTGCTGTCCAATAATCATACGTTCCCTAATTCCCTGTAGTTTAAAGGCAGCTAATCTTTCAAACTTTTATTCCGATGGTCCCAATATTGAATAATTTCTCAAGTAGAAATCACATGGAATCCACCCTCGCCACTGTTACAGTTCAGGGTTCGATAACAGTGTTGCCAAGTAAGTTCCTCAGAATTTCCTGGCATGATTTCTCCTTGTCAGATTCAGATAGGAAGAAAACCATGGACATGGAGGACACATAAAAGAACCCTTGGCAGTTGGAATTTGTTATAAAAGGCTGCAATTCTGTGGTCCAAACAAAACTTCCCTCAAAGCAACAGAAACCCTCATTGTCATAGGCCACTGCATAGCGTATGTTCATCTTCATTCAACCTCATTTCCCTTTTTTTTTTCAGAAAAATTCCAATTTTAAAGTAAAGAATTCAAAGACGTGTATGACATGATGCGAAACACTCATTACCTTATGCATGTGTAGGTAATATTTAAATTGATTTTTAAGAAAACTTGCTTCACAGGTCAAATTTAGCCTAGAACACTGTAAATGATTAGGCTTAGTAAGACGCAGGCACCCTAACCAAGAGGTCTTTGGTTTGCCAAGAAAGTTCTGGAGTGGTTTTCCCTTGTCAGCGTGGTGGGACTGGGAGGGCCTGGCAAGGACAGTATCCAATTGTTCAGAATTAGATGGTACAAAAAACACAAGATCTACAAGAACCCTTGACAGAATTCAATATAGTAGGCTTTAGCGGAGTGGTTCTGGGCAAAATTTCCCTTATAGGTCACTGTATGGCATATATCTGTATTCATTAGTCTGGTGGGTGCTTAAAAGTAGACATTAAATATGATTAAATTATTATGCTTGGTATTGTTGCTGGAAAATAAAACATGACACATTCCTAACTCAACATTAACTTTTTAGGGCAAGTAGTTCAATGATTTCACTTGCCTGAAAATGAAACTGATTGCCCAAATGTACAAATTGCATCAATTTTGCTTTGTGGGATAATTAAGTCATATAGGTGGGATTGTTTATGTAGTCGAAATTTCAGAAACTATAATTCATGAAAAGTTAAAATATTGAACAACAATGTTTTGATACAATAATTAACATTTGCTTTGGAAGAAATGTAAAAAGATTACAAAAAATGTTGACATTGAGACATTGCTAAAATTTGCTTATTATTATTATTTCTGTTTATTAATATTATACTATTATTATTATTACAGCATATTTATAGTGCTCAGGGGAACTTACAGAGTGACAATACAAAAAAACAATGTTAACAGTTGTATTATAAGTTCCATGGTATAGAGTACCGGTACTAAAATACAACAGGGTCAGATAGAATCCTGTTTAAATATGTGTTTTTAAATTGTTTTTTTTTAAATAAATATATAAAGATGTAGGCCTACAACATCTTAAACTAAATTTTTAATTGTAGGTCTAGTTGTAATTAAATTAGCCTATTAGTATTATCAAAATGGCGATCAAGTACCGGTATTTAAAAATATTGTTGACCTATTTATTTTTGTGGGTGTGTGGGTGTTACTGTGACCCAGATGTGAGATAATTAATACATCACAAGTCTCAAGCGAAATTTAGGCCTATAGCCCAGTTCATGAAAGTTGTTAAGATATTGGAAAACAATGTTTTGATACACAATTCAACATTTTTTTAGGAAATAGATTTATAACCAAACACAAACAAAAGAATTTCTGTTAATGATACCGGTAGTAAAAAATGATTTTTAACTTTCTATTTTTTTTTTACTCGTATTTTCTAAAGATCGGTAGGATTGGTCAATAATGACGTAAGTGAAATGACGTTATGGCCCATGGGCGCCATCTTTTTCTTTTCGCTAACATGATTGATACTGAAAACAATTTAAGGTAAGTTATTATAATATTTCTCAAAGTTTTAATTGTTGTAAAGACCAGGTTTTTCTTATAGCTAGCCAATTTAATGATTAGTTACGATTTATCACTAACAAAATGTCTAAGTTGCTGAAAATCGCGTAAAAATAAGTTTAGTGTGATTATGACTCGCACACAATTTGGATTTGGTATTATGCATGGCGTCGAAATGCCAATTTCATTGATTGATGAAGTACACCGAATTATTTATAATTTGACGATTTGTCCCAGAAAATTCTTCAGTTTAATTGGAACTAGATCTATGCAGAGAATTGATTTATTCATTTCATTTTCATGGCATATCATTGCCATTGTGATTGTCGAATTGAAGCGCCATGGGTGTGTGGACGAGTTGACCTATTCCGTGTCAACGACTAACCAGTGTACATGTATTTTGATATTTGTGGACTACATAACTAGACTTTTTGTGTGGACAAGTTAACTGGCATTCATTTTGAATGATTACAGTTGTTTTCGGTAAATTTAAACTGCGGTACACTGTATTGGTACTTGAAAAAAGGTGAATTTATTTCGTCTTTATTTTTTTTTTCAGAGGTTGTAAATTAATAATCCACCAGTGCGGTATGTGAAAAATGTGTCTAGACAAGATGGTAAATTGAAGTAAACTTATTCTGTCACCCTACATGTCTGTTATCCCATACATGGGCTGATGATCTGAAATCCGTTAGTTCAATGGCTCTTGAGGTTGATACATGGTTGGGCGGCCTGAGAATCTGAAAGTCAGTTATAGAGATTACCCCTCAGTACTGCTGTCCAATAATCATACGTTCCCTAATTCCCTGTAGTTTAAAGGCAGCTAATCTTTCAAACTTTTATTCCGATGGTCCCAATATTGAATAATTTCTCAAGTAGAAATCACATGGAATCCACCCTCGCCACTGTTACAGTTCAGGGTTCGATAACAGTGTTGCCAAGTAAGTTCCTCAGAATTTCCTGGCATGATTTCTCCTTGTCAGATTCAGATAGGAAGAAAACCATGGACATGGAGGACACATAAAAGAACCCTTGGCAGTTGGAATTTGTTATAAAAGGCTGCAATTCTGTGGTCCAAACAAAACTTCCCTCAAAGCAACAGAAACCCTCATTGTCATAGGCCACTGCATAGCGTATGTTCATCTTCATTCAACCTCATTTCCCTTTTTTTTTTCAGAAAAATTCCAATTTTAAAGTAAAGAATTCAAAGACGTGTATGACATGATGCGAAACACTCATTACCTTATGCATGTGTAGGTAATATTTAAATTGATTTTTAAGAAAACTTGCTTCACAGGTCAAATTTAGCCTAGAACACTGTAAATGATTAGGCTTAGTAAGACGCAGGCACCCTAACCAAGAGGTCTTTGGTTTGCCAAGAAAGTTCTGGAGTGGTTTTCCCTTGTCAGCGTGGTGGGACTGGGAGGGCCTGGCAAGGACAGTATCCAATTGTTCAGAATTAGATGGTACAAAAAACACAAGATCTACAAGAACCCTTGACAGAATTCAATATAGTAGGCTTTAGCGGAGTGGTTCTGGGCAAAATTTCCCTTATAGGTCACTGTATGGCATATATCTGTATTCATTAGTCTGGTGGGTGCTTAAAAGTAGACATTAAATATGATTAAATTATTATGCTTGGTATTGTTGCTGGAAAATAAAACATGACACATTCCTAACTCAACATTAACTTTTTAGGGCAAGTAGTTCAATGATTTCACTTGCCTGAAAATGAAACTGATTGCCCAAATGTACAAATTGCATCAATTTTGCTTTGTGGGATAATTAAGTCATATAGGTGGGATTGTTTATGTAGTCTGATAAAAAATTTCCAGTTAACTTTTAATGTCGCTCCCCGATCCTTTTTATACACCAACATTTTCATGTGGACGTATATTGTCGTCGCCCCTGTCCGTCCGTCCACAATTGCTTGTGAACACTCTACAGGTCACAATTCTTATCCAATTTAAACAAAACTTCAAATATAGGTATATCTCCCCAAGATCTCGGTTCCTTTTGATATTAATATTAGCATGTATCGGACCATAACTTCCTGAATTATGGCCCCTGATTGTACGAAAAATCGCATTTTTAGCTTGTGGACCCCATAGAGGTCACAATTTTTATCCGATTTAAAAAATAACGTGTGAATATATCACCTTTACACACTAAGGGTGGTTGAGTTCGAATTTCGTAAAAATCGGACCGAAACTGACGGACAAAATGGCCACCCCTCGTTCGCAAATAGTGTCAAAATATTGCGTATCAGGGTTGTGGACCCTCTGGAGGTCACAATTTTCATCTGATTTTAATGAAACTTAAAATGCATGTTTATAACCCACAGATCTCGGTTCCTTTCGATATTTGCGCATATCGAACCATAACTTCCCAAATTATGGTCCTTGATTGTACGAAAAATCACGTTTTTAGCTTATGAACCCCATAGAGGTCACAATTTTTATGTGAATATATCACTGTCACACCCTAAGGGTGGTACGTTGAGTTTGAATTTCGTAAAAATCGGATCGAAACCGACTTACAAAATGGCCAGCCCTCGTTCAAAAATAGTGTCAAAATATTGCGTATCAGGGTTGTGGACCCTCTGTAGGTCACAATTTTCATCTGATTTTGATAAAATTTGAAATGCATGTTTATAACCCACAGATCTGGGTTCCTTTCGATATTCGCGCATATCGAACCATAACTTCCTGAATTATGGCCGAAAAATCGCATTTATAGCTTGTGGTCCCCCTAGAGGTCACAATTATTATCCGATTTAAAAAAACGTTTGAATATATCACCATTATACTCTAAGGATGGTTGAGTTCGAATTTCGTAAAAATCGAACCAAAACTGACAGACAAAATGGCCATGCCTCGTCAAATAGCGTAAAAATATGGTATATCAATGTTGTGGACCCTGTAGAGACTTGAAATGCATATTTACAACGCAAAGATCTTGGTTCCTTTCGATATTCATGCATATTGGATCGTAACTTCCTGAATTATGGCCCTTGATTATATGAAAAGTCGCGTTTTTAGGATGTGATCCCTCAAGATGTCACAATTTTTATCTGATTTAAAAAAAGTTTGAATATATCACTGTTACACCCTTATGATGGTTGAGTACGAAGTTTCGTACAAATTGGACCAAAACTGCCGGACAAAATGGCTGCTCCTCGTACGCAAATATTGTAAATATATGGTATATCAAGGTTTATAACCGAAAGATCTTGGTTCCTTTCAATATTCATGCATATCGGATCGTAACTTCCTGAATTATGGCCCTTGATTGTACGAAAAATCACTTTTTTTTAGCTTGTTCTCTGTCCATCTCTTGCAAAATGTGGGCATATCATGCATGGCAACTGCTTGTTAAAAAAAGTATGGGGATTGTTTGTAAATTGCTGCAATTAAATTGTATCTTTTTCTCACTATACATGTAACTCATCCACTCATACGGAGGGGCTGACAAGGAAAGCTGTCTAGTCATTCGGATGGGACGAAAAACCAAGGTCCTGTGTACACATTGGCGTGCACGTAAAAGATCCCTTGGCAGTTGGAATTCGATATAAGAGTAGGCGGTAGTGCCGCTGTCCGGGCAAAATTTCCCTCATAGCACACTGTATGGCGTATGCCCGTCTTCATTAGCCCAGGTTAGGAGCAGAACAGTAGGATGTTAAACTCCATTTCATTTCATTTCATTTCATACCCTCATCTTTGAGAAGAATCATCCCATCTGATCTAAAAAGATAATTTTATGTTTTCAGATGGTGAGCTTGTGACCCGGATGGATGAATGATGGAAAGACACATAAGTGCTGTATACAGTATTCGGTATAAATCAGTCATTGAAAGTCATTACAGCTGAAGATTTTAATGACGCTCTGTACTGGTACTAACAATGTTGATTACAGTCAATGGAAGGTAATCCTTTGTAGGCATTCACATTTCAATACAGTCGTATATTTCCGTCATCCACTCCTGTGGTCTGTCATCCATATTTGTCTTAGCACAATACAGGCCTTAGTCTTAGTTAATCCCCTTTCCTTCATGGATTATAGCACCTGATTGTATTGAAAAAATCACATTTTGAGCTTGTGAAACTTCCAGGAATCACAATTTTTATCTGATTTTAAAAAAAACGTTCAACTATATCACCGTTACATCTTAATAACAGTTGAGCTCAAATTTCGTGAAAATCAGACTGAAATTGCCCAACAAAATAGCCAAGGTTTTGGACCCATCTAGAGGTCGCAATTTTGAACTTAAAATGTATGTATATAACCAAAAGATCCCAGATCCTTTCAATATTCACGCATATTGTGTCGTAACTCCCTGGATCTCATTTCCTTTCAATATTCATGCATATCAGACCATAACTTATAGATTATGGCCCCTGATCGTATGAAAAATTGCATTTTTAGCTTGTGGACCCTTTAGAGTGACAATTTTTATGATAAAACTTGAAATGTATGTTTATATCCCAAAGATCTCAGTTCATTAGAATATTCGGGCATATCGGACCAAAACTTATGGATTATGGCGACTGATTATACAAATCACATTCTAGAGATCACAACTGTTATCCAATTTTGATGAAACTTAAATCGCTTTTTTGGCTTGTTCTCTGTCCACCTCTTACAAAATGTGGGTGTATCTTGCATGGCATCTGCTTGTTTTCACTGTGTTTCCATGGGAATCTGGGGGGTTGGATGGCCGACTGGTTAGCTCATGTCTGTCATTGAGTTAACTGGCATGGTTTCGATTCCTCAGTTGTATGTGATGAGGAGTAGGGTCAACTGTCCAATCTCATGGGTTTTCTCCAGTTTCCTCCCACTGCTAAAGACTGCTACGCGCTATCGAATTATTGAAATAAAATGGACCCATATATTAGTCCCGAAATGACCTAGTTTGTATCAAGTGGACGTTAAACCCCATTTCTCTCTCTCTCCACATGAATTTAGTATTTTCTAGTAAGATTGGGTGTCTCTACTTTCCATATCCAAACTTACCATATTTTATTCGAAATAATCACCCTATAATTACTTTTTCTGAATGCATCTTTAACTGAACATTTTTTTTGTTTTAATTTCAGGTTAATCAAACCAGAATAACAGCACCTATGAATGTGGTCGAATAAGGTGTGGAGGTGATTAATAGCAACATTGAATGTGGGTTGAATATGGTGTGTTAAAGATGCAAGAAAACACACGAAATGTGTAAACTGTAATGGATTATAGCCTGGCGCTATCCAAATTACAAAACACCTGCCCTTGAGTCTATAATTATTTATTTTTTATGGCACCCACATTTTCATGTCGCTGCCTCTGTTCGTCCAGATGTACCTCCGGTGAAATTTGTTTGTGGTCACAATTATCCGATTTTAATGAAATTTAAATGTATATTTATATTCAAATCATCTGGGATCAGATTCATTTTGAACTCTAACCTCATGGATTATGGCCCCTTATATTGTGGAAAATTGGGTTTTTAGCATGTGGGCCCATCCAGAGGATTTTGGCATAGAATATTACACCTGATTGTACGATCCATTGTTTTTAACTTCTGGATCCTCTAGAATTCGCAGTTTTATATGCCAACATTTCCCATGCCTGAATTAACCCCTCTTTGCTGAAGATTTGACTTTCGAGTTCAGAGTTATGCCCCATAGCCAAAAACTTTGAATTTGATAGGAGTTACAGTTTTTAACCGATCCTTTTCAGATTTGGTGTGAAGCATTGGATTCATGAGATCACAAACCCCAACGATATGCAGTGATTAGAAGATAACCTTTTCAAAAAAGCTTGTGAATGTGATGAGGCTACAATTTATTAATTTGCCGTGTAGCTTTGGCACCATGAGAGGACAAATCCAATAAATTTCAGCAATCCACACTTAACCCACTTTTTTGGAAACCATGTGAACGTGATAAAGCTACAATTTTTTTAACAGATTTTTTTCTAATTCTATATGAAACATTGGGACAATGAGTGGATTAGCCTTATTTATATTCCTTATTCTCTTTTGCAATATGTGGGTGTATCTTAGATGGCAACCACTTGTTAATTGTATCAATTGTGTTGTAATATTTTGAAAACAATAATAAATATCAAAGTGTTATTTTGTTTCATATTTGCGGTTTTTCAGCATAACTAGGATTATTCAGTGTGCTATGAGGGAAATTTAGCCCAGATGTGGCTTTTCTGAATTGTCCTCTTTTAATTACACAGGTTTCTTTTTTTTTACATGGACGACAATTTCTACATGGAACTTTGGCTTTTCAGCCCCATCACTATCACAACCAAACACCATCCTTTGCCAGTTCCCAGATCCACTGATCAGGCGAACGGTGCAGAAAATCCTGGGAGGGTGGAGTAACTTTCATGACAGACACTGGGATCAAATACAGCCCCCCCCCCCCCCACCTGGTTTGTGAGCTAGGCCTCACACTGTTGAAGTCTGCAACCTTACTGGGTAGAAGTGATAATAACAACCAATAAGCACTGGGTTAAAGTGAGAAAAACAGCCGATAAGCACTGGGTTAAAGTGAGAAAAACACCCGATAAGCACTGGTTTGAAGTGAGAAAAAAGCTGGGTTGAAGTGAGCAAAACACTGGATTGAAGTGAGCAAAACACTGAGCAAGCACTAAGTTGAAGTGAGAAAAACACTCCATAAGCACTGGGTTGAAGTGAGAAAAACACCTGATAAGCACTGGGTTGAAGTGAGAAAAACACCCGATAGGCACCGGTTTGAAGTGAGCAAAACACTCCATAGGCACTGGGTTGAAGTGAGAAAAACACTAGATAAGAACTGAGTTGAAGTGAACAAAACACTCAATAAGCGCTGGGTTGAAGTGGGCAATACACTCGATAAGCACTGAGTTGAAGTGAGAAAAACACCCGATAAGCACTGAGTTGAAGTGAGAATAACACCCGATAAGCACTTGGTTGAAGTGAACAAAACACTCAATAAGCGCTGGTTTGAAGTGAGAAAAACACTGGGTTGAAGTGAGCAAAACACTGGGTTGAAGTGAGCAAAACACTGAGCAAGCACTGAGTTGAAGTGAGAAAAACACTCCATAAGCACTGGGTTGGAGTGAGAAAAACACCCGATAAGCCCTGGGTTAAAGTGAGAATAACACCCGATAAGCACTTGGTTGAAGTGAACACTTCGTTGAAGCCTAATTTGCATATTTGGCATGGCTTCTTCCTCACTTCAACATCATTTCTACCTTCTTTATTTCATTGAAAATTTGAAGTGTTGTTACGGAAGTGTGGTAGAAATGAACACTTCAGATATCAAATTTTTCACTTCGAGCATTGTGCTGTTCATTGAGACTGTAGTATATTCGCGTGTTCATGTTTACTTTTGTCGTGTACGGTAATTCTGGTCACTGAGCGAGCCGATCATTTTTGGAGTGTAGTTAATCGAGTCTATTTTACTTCGCGTCTGCGCATTATCACCGAAAATAAAATATAAACACGAGGAGCTGAGCGAAGTGACCAGGGTTTTCGTCGCATAATCTTTTTACCGCTACTTACTTGAAGAAAATAATAATATGGGTTAGCACCTAATACTGTGTTGTGTTTTTTCATCATTAGAAAGGTGCGCGTAAGCTATCTGGGCAGCTGACGGAACGGCCATTTGAGTTGAGACTGAGCATAAAGTACGTTTGAGAACACGTGCGCGGTCGTCTCTGTCAGCGAGACAGAACAGTAAAAAGATTGCAGAATTCCCTAGTTCCATGAGTTGTGAATAAAAAGACCTCCCTGGTTTTAAAAAAGAGCTGAGAAGAAAAGGATTGTTTCACCAACTTGGCCTGTGCGTGAGCTGTGAACAAACTTTACAAATTTTCCTGAGTTTGAGAGCTGTGAGTGTGAGAAAATGACTGCAGTGGCTACAACCATACGGAGCCGTGAATAAAACGTTTGCCGAGTTTCCTGTTTAATAACCGTGAGTAAACAGACAGAATCGACAGCCGCGAGTAAAATACATTACTGTTTAAATATAAACTATAAACTGCCGTTGAGCCATGGCAACCCCTGCAATTTCCAACAACTCTGCAGTAGAGAAAGATGACTCGCACGATGTAACCTCAAGTCACCATCCCTCATACAAGTCTATGACTAGTCGTCATACTCGTAGTTCAGAATTATCGAGCTCTGTTCAATATATTGAGACTAAAATACGTGTTGCAAGAGAGAAGTTCAGATTTGACGAGGAAATTCGCAAAATTGAGTTAGCTAGGAAGGTAGCTGAGGCAGAAACCCAATCCAAACTTGAGCAAATAAAAAATGAGCGAGAATTAGCTGTAACTGAGGCCTTGTCGTTTGGCTTCGAGACACTAAGCCATACTTCATCAAAAGTCAATTCTGTTGACCCTATTGATAATAGTTTCAATTCCACTGACCGTACTCGGCGTACTGCACAATGGATACAATCCGAGATAGGTTCTGAGATCGGAGACCTCCCACATGAGAACAACCAGGGGCCTACACCCCACGAGAAGAGCCTTACTACGATTGAGTCACATCGGCCTACTGAGCTACCTAGCCCTAGGTCCACTGAGCAAGCCCACACCAGGCATAAGGAGTTACCTTTCGAGCAGCCCCCAGAGCTATCCCTATCCAGGCCTACCGAGATCTACAGAAATGAGAACCTTACTGAGTTGTTACCAACAGCACCTGTATTTCAACCCAGGTTTGAGGGGCCTACTGAGCAATGTTTGACTAGGCCTAAAGAGTCACCTCGTGATATACATAACGAGCAATCGTCAAACACCCCCATATTTCAACCTAACCATGAGCTAACACTGAGATACACACCTAGTATGCCAACGCATGGTGACCCTAGACCATTTGAGAGCACTAATCAACAAAGCAACTTGTTTAACACTAGGCCACCCGAGCACTCTAATGACATTAGTAAGAGATTACTTGCTTCACTTGCACTACCTAAATGTGAGCCTGACGTGTTTAGTGGAGATCCCGCCTTGTTTCTTCCTTGGAGGCAAGCATTTAAAACCTTAATATGTGAAGCTGAGGCTACACCTAATCAAGAGATTACGTACTTACTGAAGTACACCAGTAGCAAACCTAAAGAGCTTGTAAATCAATTTCGCAGACGAATACATCCCGATCCCCAGGTCAAACTAAATGACCTTTGGTCAGCACTAGAAGAAAGGTTTGGACATACTGCTGAGGTAGCGAATAATTTGATTGAGACTTTACTGAAGGCTGCTAACTTTCGTTACGAAGATAAAGAGGCTCTTCAGACATTTTATGACACTTGTGAGAACTTAAATACACAAGAACCTTATTTGAAAGGCCTGAGCATCCTGAATACTTCGTATTTCATGAAAACCTTAGTTGAGAAAATACCTAAATCCATTAAAGAGAAATGGGACAGTAAAGTTACCAAACACATGGTCGATAATAGAAGTGATGATTACCCACCATTCAAATCCTTTGTTAAGCTGATCCATAACCTTTCACTAAAACAGAACCATCCATCTATTGCTAAATTACCGAGTCAAGAGAGTGAGCACAAAGGTTCGAGATACACAAGTTCGAGACCTAACAACAACCTGAGTTCAAAGCCTAATCCTTATAAGCATGGTTTTAAAGACAATAAGCCCAGTACACACACCACTAGTCTCAAGACTGACGTTAACTTAGAGCCTAAACAAGAAAAGTCGAACAGCCAATGTCCGATCCACAAAACCAACCACCATCTTTCTGAGTGTCGAACCTTCCGAGAGAAAAGTTACGACGAGAAACTGCAGTTATTAAAAGAGCTTGAGATATGTTTCCGTTGTTTAGAGGGGAAACATTTTGCCATTCACTGTACCAGGAGAGATATATCTTGTCCTAAATGTAACAGACGTCACCTATTAGTTCTGCATAAAGATGACAGAGATGAGACGAAGAAGAAAGAGTTGGCACCTTATAGTGGGGAGGCTGTAAAATCAGCATGTACCAAAATTTGTGGTGATGGGACTGTCAACATGAGAGGTAAAACCTGTGGTAAATTAATCCTTGTCGACATTTACGAATTGAGCAATCCTGAGAGAGCAGTGCGAGGATATGTCATTATAGACGACCAGTCCAACCACTCATTAGGATCAACTGAGTTATTTGAGGGCCTACAACTGTACGGGGATGAGCACGAGTTCACACTCGAGACCTGTCATGGTAAGGAATTATGTGTAGGTCGCAGAGCAGAAAATCTTTGTGTACGCACAATACGAGGAGACGAATTTCCACTTCCGAGCATAACTGAATCCAGTAACGTTCCTGATGGTACCAACGAGATTCCAAATCCTGAGCTTGTTAGACAAATACCACATCTTCAGTGTATAGCTGATTATCTTCGACCAATTGACAATAAAGCACCCTTCCTTCTTATTATTGGTCGTGACGCACCTGAGTTATTGAAAGTACGAGAGTCAATAAATGGGCCTATAGGAGCAGCATGGGCACAGCGTCTTGATTTAGGATGGACAGTGAGTGGAGTTCTGTGCTTAGATCGCCAAGGAGGAAACGTCCACATCATAGCTAGAAGAACGTCTGTTGGATTTGAAACCAAGTATGAGCCTTGTGAGAATTCCTTCATATGTAAACAATCGCCAAAAGACGACTACCTGAGTTTGAGTTTTAATGAGTTTTATACATCACCGAGAGATAACGAGATTGGTTTGAGTCATGAGGATCGACAATTCCTGTCTCTTATGGACAAGAGCTTCCATAAGAACCAGTTGGGGAATTGGGAAGCACCTCTTCCTTTTCGGAATTCTGATGTTTATATGCCCAACAACCGTATTCAAGCTGAAAAAAGGTTCCAGAGTCTATTGAGAAATTTCAACCGAAATCCACAACTTGAGACCGATTATTTCGAGTTTATGACAAAGCTGTTTAAAAAAAGCCACGCCTCACCTTCTACGAACACTGTTGAAGACGGAAGAGTTTGGTATCTCCCTCACTTTGGAGTATACCATCCACAGAAGAAGAACCAAATCCGAGTAGTTTTTGATTCATCCGCTGAGTACAAGAGCACTTCCCTCAACTCTGAGTTATTAACTGGTCCTGATCTTATGAACAGATTAATTGGAAGG